ATTCGTTGTTATATGGGGTAATTGTTAAGTGAAGCACGACTGTAATGGGTAAAACATTTGTTTTTCTTGAGGTAATATTCAAAGTTCTTGAAGCTTAACCTTTGAAAAGATCCTTGAAATGGGGACCCAAGACATTTTGCTGCCTGAGGTGAAGAACATGGTAGTAGTGCTTCTGCCTTCCATATACCTAAGCTGATTTGGACAGGCAGTTGATTCTTGCTTAAGCACTGGTGGTGGGAGAGTCCTCCATCACAGCCGATGGCAGCTGACTTGGGTAGAGGGCACAGGCAGGCTGCGAACCACAGCTCTCTTCTCCACTACCCTTGTGCTTCCTGTGACAACTTTCTCACTCTGCCTAATGACAGGACCGGCCCTTGTAAGGCACAAAGGCACAGTTGGCTGTTCTGAGCACCAGGAATAAGCTCTGAACTCAGATGTATTGGCAGGCACAGGCGGTGGTGCTGGCTGGCTGCATCATGAATCAGGGGACCTGGCTGCAGAATCAGGTGTTGGACATTCAATCCCTCCATTTGGCCTTATAGAAGAAGAGCCAACCTGTATAGCCTTGGGCAAGCTTCATAGTTCCATAGTGCCCCCAAGATGGAGTGGTGAACCACTTCTGAGTAGTTGATATCTAGGAAATCCTGGAAGACGTTGCCTTAAGTCACAGTTGACAAATATGATTAATGGCAGTTCTTCCTGCTTTGGTGCCCCTTGCTGATCCAGAGTTTGGACCCAGGATGGCATGTTGGGACTTAACGCCGTGCAATTACTGTATTCCCTGATTTGATTCACGAGCTCATTTAGAGATGCAGATTCAGAAGCTCATTGGGCTCAGATCCGTTTGGGCTGGAATTGATTAGATTCAGTGATGGATCAGAATCAAAATTCAGAAATCGGGGTGTTCTCGTCTCTCATTCATTTGCACAAGGAAATTAAAATAGCTGTGATTTTAAACCACCACCACCCCTAAATACGCATGCAATATGAAGACAGCTGTAAGATTTTTCTCCCCTACTAAATTGCAGACAAATAAGTTCAGGGATATTTTTGTATGTGAGCCACATAAATATCTTGAATTTCTTGGCATTCTGAGTCAATGATTCCTGCCATCAAACTGATAGGTGCAAGGATTTTTGTTCTATCCACATTTAAAATTTGTTTTAACGTTAAGTGCTGTTACTGCGAAAAAATACTACTAAAAGTCAACTCAAATAAGCACCAAACATAAAGTGTAAAGCTGGATCTCAATTGGGAAATAGAAAAGGATTGACACTTGGATGCTGTCAGAATGAAGGAAAACAAGCTATAATTAACAGCAACCCTTAATAAAGGTCTTTCAGAAACTGTGATCGGAGTGCGCTAATGAGATTCTTCCCCAGTCCACATGGAAAGCTAGAGGCGTAGAGGTGGGGATGGGCGGATTAAAGCTAAATATCACTGTCTAGCCTATTAAGATTCAAACAGAATGAACAGATTCATAGTGAAGATTAAAAAAACAAAAGGAAAAAAAACAGTAAAGGCCAAAAGAGGATTAGGGCACATTATTAAAAGTCAGAGGGCAAAGGTTGTGGATGTGAGAAGACAGAGACACACAGAGGAGTCAAGACTGTCAAAAATCATCAAAACATTACCGCTTTCTAGTGATTGACTACTGACAGCTAATGGAAAGCAAAATAATTTGGAGCTGCCTGAGAGAACTTTATACAGTGGTGCCTTGCTTGACGATGTAAATTCGTTCCAGCGAAATCGCTGTAGAGAGAAAACGTCGTCAAACGAAATTAAAAAACCCATTGAAACGCATTGAAAACCGTTCAATGTGTTCCAATGGGCTGAGTACCTGCTCGTCCAGCGAAGATCCTCCATACGGCGGCCATTTTTGGTGCCTGTAAAGCGAGGAATCCATCCTAGAAAACAGCGGGAGGCCATTTTCTTCAGCCTGCAGCCGTTTTGAAACCTGACGATCAGCTGCTTGCTGATCGTCGTAAAGCGAAAATTGGTTCCCCAAGCAGGGAACCAACCAATCATCGCACAGCAAAATAATAATAATAATAAAAATTAAAACATTGTTTTGCGATTGCAAGAGCGATCGCAAAAACGTCAACGTAAAGCGGATTCCTCGTAGAGTGGGGTAATCGTCCAGCGGGGCACGACTGTATATCGCTTGTGTGGCACTGCATAGGCCTTGAGTGTATGCACTGTGATCATGAGACCAGAACTGCCCATGAACCCCAGGCTGGTTTTTTCTCCCCATCATGCTACCTTGGAGGTCTCCTTGTATGGCACTGTTTCATAATATTTTTGAAGGCATTGTATCTACTATGGATTTAGGGTCTGAATCACCAAAATGACCCGAAGCGTTGCTTGTGTGGCGCTGCATAGGCCTTGAGTGTATGCACTGTGATCATGAGACCAGAACTGCCCATGAACCCCAGGCTGGTTTTTTCTCCCCATCATGCTACCTTGGAGGTCTCCTTGTATGGCACTGTTTCATAATATTTTTGAAGGCATTGTATCTACTATGGATTTAGGGTCTGAATCACCAAAATGACCCGAAGCGTTTTCGATTGATTCGGACCAACCCAGCCTGCTCTCTGCATGGGGTCCAACAATGTCTGGATCGGTATCGTTCAGGATTTGGCTAAGTTCGTTAATTGGTTCGCTTTACAAAGGTTTAGCAGTCTGGACTGCCTCTGCTCAGAGCGATTGTGTTCTTTTTCCCCCCTAGAATGAAAAATTGTTCTCTTTAGAAAGTAGAGATTTGGAAAAGATGGATGGTTATTTATTTTTCTGCTATTTCCCCAGAGTTAGAAAGATCTTAGCCTGGAAAATGATACATTCCCTGGCTTTGATCCGATAAGCGTATTTGTATGAATCTGTGTATGGTGTGTGTGTATGTAATGTTCATTTGTTTCTCTCATTCATAACACAAAGCCTTCAAATAAAAGTGATGCACAGTTTTGGGCTTTTGGGGTTATATGCAGAATTTAGCAGACGATCGGGTTTTGTTTGATTGGGCGCCCACCCTTTTCAATGGTAAAGATTAGCTAGTAAATTAAGTGGCCTGCAACTGGGAATCTCAGAGATTAAAGTAGCCGATTCTGAATTGGATTTCAGTAACTGGTGGAGAAGTGAGATCCTAGTACAATGGACCCTCTACTTACGGCATTAATTCGTATTGAAACAGTGGCTGCAAGTCGAAAAGTCTGTAGGTCGAGTCTCCATTGACCTACAATGCATTGAAAACCGATTAATCCTGTAAATGGCCGTTTTTGTTCCATTTTTTGTCCATTTTGCTTTTTTTCTGGTCTGTAGGTCGATTCTCTGGCTGCAAGTCGAACCTAAATTTTGCAGCCAGAGAAGTCTGTAACTCGAAAAGTCTGTAAGTCGAGCCGTCTGTAAGTCAAGGGTCCACTGTAGCTGCAGATTTGTTTATTTGTTAGCTAAAGGGGGGAGGGACTTGAAAATTAAAAAGAAGGGGGGAAAGGCAAAAGGCATTTTAAAGACAATGTCTGCCTGCCAGCAGCGCTTCTCTGCATTTTACATGGGACGGACGGGACAATCTCTGTGCAAAAAAAAAAATGGGCACAAATTTGCCACCAGGAACAGCAACTCAGAGAAACCGGTTTAAGAATATTCCAGTCTCCCAGGACATTTTACTGTTGGATCTCAAAGTGGTTATTGTAGACAGAGAAAAACGCCTTCTAATTTAAGTAAATGAAGTTGGATCGTCCCCTTTCTGTGTTGAGGATCTGATGCTGCTGTCTGCATCTTCCTCTGATGGTTGGGATGTATATAAATATAGAGGATGTAGTTTTGCACCCCTTCTGTCCGAAGAAGCAGATTGCAATCCATGGAAGCGCACACTGAAATAAATGGGTCGCCCTTTAAAAGACCCCAGTATTTTGCCCCACCCCTCGATTTTTCTATCCCCTTCCCGTGTTGTGGATCTGATGCTTTGCCTGTTGTCTGCATCTTCCTCTGATGGTTGGGATGTATATAAATATAGAGGATGTAGTTTTGCACCCCTTCTGTCCGAAGAAGCAGATTGCAATCCATGGAAGCGCACACTGAAATAAATGGGTCGCCCTTTAAAAGACCCCAGTATTTTGCCCCACCCCTCGATTTTTCTAGTGTGCTGAGATGGACCAACTTTTTTGGGAAGTATCGTTTATAAGAGGCATGAGGAACCTTTCGTCTTTCGCAATTTTTCCAGGTCTTGCTTAGCCTCATTTGATTTGGGCTGGTGAGCCTCTTTCTTTCAAGGACACGTAGGCATACAACTCATCAACACCCGGGGCTTTCCACGATAGAGGGGGCAGAAAGTGTTTCCTTCCATTTATAAGGCAACTGCCTGTTAGGATGGGTTTCCCCCCCCCGCGCCCCATAAAAGCAGGAAGGGTTGGGATCTTCCTGCAGCTGCTGCTGTTCCCTTATCAATTAATATGGCCAGATAAACCCATTCTTTACTATTTTGAGGTACTGGGATTAAGTATTCTTGGACGTTGACTTCTGGTCTAACCGTTTCCATTAGAAAGACAGCCTATCTGGTTTATTTTTGTTTCTGTAATAATCATCATCTAGGAGATGATGGATACATGCAGCTGTTTTTATTTTTAATTATAATGCCCAGAATCTCTCGGTGGCCACACCGCTTGGAAGGAAGGGATTCTGGGACTTGCAGGTCTAAATCCACTTGTTATTCCCAACTTGAGTAGATCCACTGAATCAATAGTTGAATTGTGGGTCAATAGTTAAATACATCCATTGAATCTACTCTAGTTTGGACTACCCATTGGATTCAGGCCAAGGTCAGAGAAAAATATGGAGAAAAGTCTGGCCAGTTTCTGTGGGTTTTGACTAATTTTTGCCTTTGATGTACATGTGGTTCTTGGGGGGGTTGGGAAGCTAAGCCTATGCAACTTGGTCTTGTGCCTTTCTTAACTCTCCCCTTTGTAATCTCCTGGGTCCTTAATGTGTTATTTTGTCAACGTTCACAGGATATCCTATTGCACAGCAGACAAAGTACACGACAAAGTGTTCGCTTATATTGCCCAGAGCCAACACAACGAGAACCTGGAGTGCCACGCTTTCCTCTGTGGGAAAAAGAAAATGGTTAGTACTGAGGCCGAAACGTTATCCCGGCATTGTGATGTGTGCAGCTCCTTGCAGGGTTTCAAGGGTATCTAAGGTAAAGTGACCGAGGCCACCGCAATGGGGTGTGGCTCAGGTGGGCGGAGCTTGGAAAAAGCTCCCTTTCAGGGCAACGGTATGGAGAGGAGGTGTAGAGACGGGAGATGGGAGAACAAAATGAACATCATCGATTAGGGAGGGATAAGCTCATGGAGAGGTTTTCTAGTAGAGGTGTGCTGACTTGCGTTTTTGAGCTACAGAATTCGCCAGGCAGCATAGCTATAGTCCAGAAACACAAATCATCAACACCTCTGATTTCTCGTTGTGCGGGTCAACAAAAGCTGTCTTCCCAATCCTTCTTGTTGATGTGTGCAGTCAGGCTGCATCTGATGATGACAGCCTTTACAGAGTCTTCAAGGTAGGTGGAATATTTTTAAGGGGTGGTTTTGCCAGTGCCAAAACCCCACCCTACCCCCATGCATTTCCATGACCAAGCAGGGATTTGAACCCAGATCGCCTCAATCCTAATCCATCCCTCTGTCCGCCATGACGCACTGGATTTCACTCCAATGCCACTCGTGAGCTTCCAGTTAAGAGTATCCATTCATTATATGTGAATAATGAATGGATGATAATCCCAACCAGGACGAGATGGACAGACAGTGTCATCGAAGCAACCAACATGAATTTGACCCAGCTCCGTGAGGCAATGGAAGACAGGAGGGCCTGGCGTGCTCTGGTCCATGGGGTCACGAAGAGTCGGACACGACTAAACGACTAAACAACAACAATTCTTTATGTGAAACAGGCCTTTAGCTGAACTAAGAGACTTTTTGGTCTGATCTTGCAGGGCCCCCTACCTATGGCTCCCAAATCTTGTTTCTAGGAAGCTCCTTGAATTCTTGTCAGATCCCTGATTGAGAAGGACAGCAGTGGTTCAACCTTCTCTTAAAAGGTTGGCCCTGGTTATGTCCTCCCAAGCCTGATAGGCATGGAGAGTCTTTGCTCCCGAGATGTTGTCCACTTTATTTCACAGAAGTCTTCCTCCACATAATTAGTGGCAAGGGATTGTAGAAGCAATAGACCCAAACATCTGGACAGCTGCAATTCCCCCCCCCCTTATATTAAAGGCTGAAAATCTGAAGACAGGTATATAGAGAAGTATGTGTTAGAATTTGTCACTTGAAGATGAAACACCTTGTTGTTATTCTGAGAGATGGTGGCATTTGGCCGAGGCAGTGAAGGTGAACTCAATTTTCAAGCTTACTTTGCAATTTCATTTTAAGAGTTCTGGTTGTTCTTAGGAGCGGTATCTCCGGCAGTGGCTCTAATGGAGCCTTAAAGCAATCCCATGACCTGCTTGCTTGGTCGAGTTCCTGAAAAGTAATAGCACCAGTTCACACATTAGGCAGAAAACCTGGGCTTGATGCCATGTGTATGTTTGACAGAGCAGCAGCCAGTCCCAGCTCTCGGGGAGGTGCATACACTCTTTCAACACCTGTTTGCTGTATTCAGTCTACAGTATATAATTTTGAGTGTATACTGAAAAAAAAAAAGAGAGCTTAAATGCATCCATAAAGAAGACTAGGGTGCCGTTCTTTAATTGAGCTTTTAAAAAATTTGCAACCAAGGAGAAACTTTTTAATGGATGGAAATGACTATTAAAAAAAACAATATTGTGCTCATCCTGGTATTTAACATCTGTTTTTCTCCATATATATAGGACTATGGCTCCCATAAAACTTTTCTAGCATGACCAGTGGCCAGAAATTGTGTACAGTCGTGCCCCGCATAACGATTACCTCCTATAAAGATGAATACGCTTCACGATGATGTTTTTGCAATCGCAACTGCGATTGCAAAACCATGTTTTAAATGTTTTTTTTTTTTTTTGCTTTGCGAAGATCGGTTCCCTGCATCAGAAACCGATTCTTCGCATTATGACGATCAAAACAGCTGATCGTCGGGTTTTCAAAAAGGCCGCCGGGTGCTCAAAATGGGTCCCCGCTGTGTTTTTGGACGGGTTCCTCACTCTACAGGCACCAAAATGGCCACCCCTATGGAGGATCTTCACTGGACGGTGAGTTTTCAGCCCATTGGAACACATTGAACGGTTTTCAATGCATTTTAATTGGCTTTTTTATTTCGCTTTACGACGTTTTCGCTCTACAGCGATTTCGCTGGAATGAATTAACATTGTTAAGCGAGGCACCACTGTAGTTGGAAATATCAGTAGCATGCCAGGTTGATTCCTGCAAGATTAGATTAGCTGATTTTAAAAAAATGTTGAAACTATCAAAAAGTTTCCATCTGATTAATCAGACAAGAGATTTAGAAATAATGTTAATACACACTCTTGTTCACAGAATCTGAAAAGTGGCTGTTGATTCAATAGCTCAGTGGTCTAGGTATCTGGCTACAGAGCCAGAGGTTGGGAGTTTGATTCCCCCATCGTGCCTTCTAGGGGAAGAGCCAACCAATGTAGGGTTGGGCAAGCTGCACAGTTACAGATTTGTGCCGAGAAGAAAGGAATGTTAAACCACTCCTGAAAAGAAGCCAAGGAAGGGGTCACCGTAAGTTGGAATTGACTTGCTGGCACATAATTATTATTATTTGTGCATATTAAAAGGGCCATAGTCCCTTCTCTTTCTCTCACACAAGCAACTAAAAAGCTGTAACTACCCTGCATAGCGTAACCCTTATTACATTTCATCTTTATTGTTATGTTATGATGCCTCCTTTATGCGGAAAAGAAATATAATTAATTCATATTTGTATTAATTATAATGCAACAACAAGTTGCAAATAATTGATTGCATTAATTCTTTGTAACTCATTATTCCCAGGCTCTTGAACCCCATCCCCAGCTGCTCCGGTTTTCTCTTCCTCTGTACAGAGTTTCTGTTCTAGAGGGTCTTTAAGTGAAATTCTCTTTTATTACCTCTCCGTGAATCGCCTTGTAGGCTAAACTGAAGGACCCACTGGCATCTAGAACGCCAAATCTTTCTCCACCCGATTCCTAAGTCACTTCTTACGTCACCAGGATGACTTTGGGTCTTTATGGTCGGAAGGCATTTGCTCTCAAACTCACACATGCTGAGAGAAATCGAAGATGAGTCGTTGGGAGGAAGAGGCAGCTGAACCTCCTCACGTTCGCCAGTCCAGTTTTGTGCTGGAAATGCTTTCACCCCAATCTCTGGCTCAGAATTAGGCATCTTTCCTTTATGTTCCTGTTTGGGGGGGAAAACCACCAATTTTTTAAAAAATAGATTGTAAACCATCTCAAGGGAAGAGTAGAATTTGCTAGCCAGGACTGTGGGGTAATCAGTACTATCCCATATCCTAGTCTCTTAAAATGCACCCCTTCTGCCATCACCACACTTACCTGATGTGGAAAACCCTTTAAACTGTACAAGTGGTGCCTCGCTTAACGACATTAATTCGTTCAAGCGAAATCGCTGTAGAGCGAAAACGTAAAGCGAAATAAAAAAGCCCATTGAAACGCATTGAAAACCCCTCAATGCGTTCCAATGGGCTGAAAACTCACAGTCCAGCAAAAATCCTCCATAGGGGCGGCCATTTTCGCTTCCTGTAAAGTGGGGAATCCATCCAAAAACACAGCGGGGAGCCATTTTAAGCAGCTGGTGGCCATTTTGAAACCCGACAGTCAGCTTTTTTTGATTGTCATAAAGTGAAAATCGGTTCCCGAAGCAGGGAACCGATCATCGTTAAACGAAAAAAAAACACCATTTAAAACATCGCTTTTGCAAAAACCTAATCGTCAAGCGATTTCGTCGTAGAGTGGGGCAATTGTTAAGCGAGGCACCACTGTACATCTGACCTTTGTGTCATTTCCTAAATGTCCTTGAAGACTTTTCTGCTGGTTCTTCTCTCTCTCTCTCTCTCTCTCTTTCTCTCTCTCTCTCTCTCTGTGTGTGTGTGTGTATGTGTGTGGCCCAGCCTCTGTGTCTGTCTCTGGCAGGGAAAAATGTGAATGCTAATCTCACATTATGGAGAGAGGGTATATAATATCTTAGGGGCGTGGATCCTGGAAATATGTCTCGTTTTCCACTCTCTGGCATATAATTAATCTATATTTTTAGTGCCTGGGCAATTCGCACCAGGATCCGGGTCTATTAAACTTGATTTGAATGTGACAGCTGAAATTGTAAACAGCTGTGAGGAGTTTCATACTTAATTACCATATTTAAAAAGAGGTTTTTGGGTTTGTTTTTTACCCATCATGGAAAAGTCTGTTTTTGCTCTTCTACTGAAGATGTAAACGACTCAGACTTTCAAATGAAACTGTGTTCTTTCTTGTTGGTATCAAATCACGGCAGATGCAAAGGTTTGTTCAAGCTTCTGAGCAACCCTTCCCTTGTAGAGAGTTGATTTTGTTTGTAACCATCCAGGCGGGAAGCTTTGCAAATCGGTAGAGAGAAGATCATTCAGGGCTGTTGGTGACCCTCCCAAAGGATCACCATAGGATCCTGGGGCTACTGAATATATGTTTTTTCCAGGCTGGTAAAATTTGTGAATTTCAGAACGCCTGAACTGGTTTGCCTTTGTTTAAAACACAGGCAAACAAACCAGAATCTCACTGCTCGTTACTATCTATGGAGGGGAAACCGCTACATCTAATGGATGAGATGAAGCTTGTGTTCACTGGGCACAGGCCAACATATGGCCAACATCTATCTCACCAGTGAGCTGCTACCACTTCCGCCATTTCCCTTCTGCGTGCAATAAAAAGAGCAACGATATTCCGGCTCCAGACACACAACCGTGATCAATGGCAGGGCTGTAGGTGGTTCACAGTTAATTGAAGCTATATAACCATACACAGTGGGATTTTAAAAAAGAACAGAGATCAGTAGGAAAAAAAAACCCACAAACACCATCCTGTAATAACACTTAATTTGTCCAAAGGAGTTGAAATGTTGTATGAAAAGGAAGGCCATTTCCCGTTAGTGGAAGATCAATAGGAAGGGATTAACCTGGCTTCCGGAAGAGGGCATTCCTCAGCCTGGGGTGTAACTAAGGCAGGCGTCACCATGGTGAGATCCGGTATTCCATGGATGGACCAGCTTTACCTGTATGAATGCTGTCTTGGGCGCCACTCAAACCTAGGCATCCAGGCTCGATCCAGGAACATGCCCAAACTGGGCACATGACTTTTCAGCAAAGATATACACTCCATCCATTACTGATTCTCTGACCTGCCTTTTGACCAAATAAGAGCATCTTTGTCCTCATCTTTATTAAGTTTGAGTTTGTTTGATCTCAGACAGTATATTACTGACTTTGGACACTGGCCGAGGCTTAAGACCACTCTCCTGGAGTTACGTGGAAAGGAGAGTTGGGTGTCATCAGCATACTGGTAGCATCTTATCCCCCAAACTCCGGAACTGCCACCAGCCCACTGTGGTTCCATTAAGATACTAAATAGTTTGTGCAGTAGAACCAAACCCTAAAGGATGGCCAATATTTAAACCGAATTTTCGTGTCAAATGGTTGAAGCCACCCGTGGTGATTCTACACTGTATATATAAATTTGTATGTAGATTTATATTAGTACACATTGTGAGTGACTGGGGTTTCGAGTGTCAGTGGTTGGCTGGTTGTGTGGTTTTGGGAGGTGTAACAGATTGTTTGTGAATGGAACTGTGTTGATTGGTGTCCATGTTGACACTGATTCCATACAACACACATAGCCCAACTTGTTTTTATAACCTCCATACAGTGGTGCCTCGCTAGACAATTACCCCGCATGACAGTTTTTTTGCTAGACATTGACTTTTTGCAATCGCTATAGTGATTCGTAAAACAGTGATTCCTATGGGGGAATTTCACTGGACAATGTTTGGTCCCTGCTTCACAAACCGATTTTCGCTAGACAACGATTTTGACAGCTCCCTCCGCGTTTGCAAAATGGGTGTTTTTGGGGCCTAAGCTTTGCAAGACAGCGATTTAAACAGCAAAGCGGCTTTCCTATGGCATGTTGTGAGTGACTGGGGTTTCGACAGTGGTTGGCTTGTTGTGTGGTCTTGGGAGGTATAATAGATTGTTCGTGAATGGAACTGCGTTGATTGGTGTCCACGTTGACACTGATTCCATACAACACACATAGCCCAGCTTGTATTTATAACCTCCATACAGTGGTGCCTCGCTAGACAGTTACCCCGCATGACAGGTTTTTTTGCTAGACATTGATTTTTTGCAATCACTATAGTGATTCGCAAAACAGTGATTCCTATGGGGGAATTTCACTGGACAATGTTTGGTCCCTGCTTCACAAACCGATTTTCGCTAGACAACGATTTTGACAGCTCCCTCCATGCTCGCAAAACGGGTGTTTTGGGGGCCTAAGCTTCGCAAGACCGTGATTTAAACAGCTAATCAGCGGTTCGCAAAGCGGCTTTCCTATGGCCGATCTTCGCTAGACAACGACAATTCTTCCCCATTGGAAGACATTAAACAGGTTTTAATGCATTCCAATGGGGAAATGCTTTTCGCTAGACAATGATTTCGCTAAACAGTAATTTCAGTGGAATGGATTATCATCGTCTAGCAAGGCACCACTGTATCTCTGTCATTGATTAGCAAACCCACCTTCCCCCACTTTTGGGTTAAAAACCAAGAATTTCCACATCTGGAAGTTCAGTGAGCAGCCATTCTCCTCCTTTGTGCTTCGGCTTCCAAAGATGCTTTTCTGGGTATTCTTCCTATTTCTCCAAAGGGGAAAAAAATTCCAGTCACTTCCAGTTCACAACTTACTTTTTTAAAAAAAAAACATATTTTGTGCATGATAAATATTCACCTTCTGCTCCCATTTGTTTGTATTGTTTTCCATACATTTTGTCAGATATTTGTGATCTTTTGTTGCATGCGTTCATAATTTGGGTTTTTTTTACTGTGGGTTTAACGTAGAATCTTGTACTCCTGTACAAGATAAATTCTGTAAGTCAATGAATAAATTAATATATAAAAACTATTTCTGTAAACATCTACAGAGGTGACTCACAGAGTACGCCGGGGTGGTTATGGGCATCTCATTACAGAATTTTAGAGGGTACCCCGCCCCATTCCTGTCACAAGCCACCCATGGTGTACATACCATGTTTTCCCGAAAATAAGACAGGGTCTTATATTAATTTTTGCTCCAAAAAACACATTAGGGCATATTTTCAGGGGATTTTTTTTTCAGGTACAACCATCTGTATTTATTCAAATACAGTCATGTCATCTTATTCTGGTTGCTGCACCATGGTGGAGGGCGGGGTTTCACTTAACTGGGGCTTATTTTGGGGGGTAGGGCTTATATTACGAGCATCCTGAAAAATCATACTAGGGCTTATTTTCAGGCTAGGTCTTATTTTCGGGAAAACATGGTATTTGCTCATTTTGGCTGCTAGGTCTCCCATCGTCTCTCCTCTGCAAAAATTCCATCATTACACAAGGAACTATAAGCTCACCGTGCGAATGTGTGAATTCTCCCAGGGAGTATTAGAGCCGCTTCTCTGTTATCGTGAGGCCGTCCTGTTGGCCTCGCTACCAAATTAAGTCTTGAACGGCTTGGGACTTGCTGAGCTGTAGAATGAGGTACGAGCTCCTGGTTGAACATCTCTCAAACGAGCAGAACCTCCAAATGATTTAAATCTACACGAGGAACAGTCTATTAATGCACTTGTTATAATCACTCGCTTCTTTTCTCCTTTTCTCCCAGGCTCAAGCTGTCACCCTCACAGTAGCTCAGGCGTTCAAAGTCGCGTTTGAATTTTGGCAGGCGTCCAAGGAAGGTAAAGAAATCCACCTCTTCCTTTCCCCGAAGCCTCCGTGCCGCCAGATAACGTGGGCCGGCTTTTGTTGTTGTCGTTTGTCTTCTGCATTCCCTAGAACTCAATGGTTATATTTATGTGTGTGTTCATTTTAACGGAACGGATGGTGAACGAAATTCCCGTGGCTTGCTTCACCCAACCATCTGACAGTTGGCTGAATGTTTAATGGCTGAATGTCATGCAGTTCTTCTAACCTGCATGCCTGCTCTTTGTGGTCTCCATTACAGAGCTTGCTTGCTGCGAATTTTTTGTTTTGTTTTGAGTTTTATATTTGCTGTTGTCACTGAACAGATGTGGCCTATGCAGTTCGGCTCAGGAATGCTACCAGAAACAGGAGCCTTCTCTGATGTTCTCCCTGGGCATAATGTATTGTGGAACTTCACTCTTGTCATCAGCACATTATGTACTATTTTCTAGTCGGCACTGGGATGATGAAGGCTTTGGGCAGGGGTGATATGTGGGGAATTCAGGGGCTTGGCAGGGCGATGTTAGGGAGTTGAATGTCACCTAGACAATATTGAGCGTTGTGAGAAAGGTCTTTGCCTGGCACCAGTCAAGTAAGTACCTAGTACATCACTGTAGAGAAAGTCTTACATGAGAGATCTTACGCTGAGCAAGGAAATGACTGGGATAATGCAGTGCTGGTGGTGATGACGTTGTTGGTGACGAGATCATGAGACACTTCCGGCCTGCCTTTCCACAGTGAGAGAGTGCTCAAAGCGGCTTGCAAAGATCATAAAACAAAATAAGAGCAAAGTGTACAGATTCAGCCGTACGACTTTATGAATCCAAATATGATTGTTGATTCAGGCGGCTGGTTTTTTTCCCTGCATGAAAAACTATAATTCCTATTTATAATCATAAGAACATAGAAGCTTGCTTCATACTAAGGCAGCTTAGCGATCCACCGGTTCCTTTATCACCTGATGGGAAGTTTTCCTTGACCCCATAAGAAATCCATGAGATCCTGTTAACTGGGGATGTGCAGATTTGAATCTGGGGCCTTCTGCATTTCCTATGCACGCCCACACCCCATAAATTTCAATGGGACATCAAGTCGCTCTCCTTCCTCCCCCGTGCTTTAGCAACATCCAGGGGCAACTCACTAGCAGTTACCATCCAAATCGCCACACTCTTTGAATAGTGTGCTGGTCGTTAGGCAATCATCCAAGTTCTTCTTGCGTTCCTACCCATCTTTCCTCTCTCCTGCGCGCACATGCACAATCGCGCTGCCTTTCCCTTCTCCGGAAATTTATAGAAAATGCTCGAGGGCAAGCCTTCTAGTCCTGCCAGACTGTTACGGTGCCAGCTGAGGGTATGTTGACAGCAAGAGACCATCTGTCCTTTTGTCGGTGGTGGCCTGGTTACTGCAGCTGGAGGCCGGTGGGCAGGGTTCCAGGCTGTCCATAGGCTTGATTTGGATGGCCTTGTCAAGTCTTGGGGTCATGCCAACATCACGGTCTGCTGCACACGTTCCGGGCAAGAGAGGAAGAGAGATCTCTCCGTCAGCGCTTGCTCTTGCTCCTCTTCCATCTCTATTCCTGAGGTGGCTTCGGTGCGGATTCTGAGCTTTGTGGCCGGAAATCTACCCCTCTTCAAGATGTGCTTCCAAATGGAATTTATTTCTGCCAGAAATATGCAGCTGCCTCCTTCCCAGAATAACTCTGTTTGCTCAGCTTGCTTCTTGGTGATTTTTGGTTAAGACGGCGAGCATCTGGGACTCGGAGAGCCGTGTTATTCCCATAATTGACTTTTAATTTATTGCAACTGTCTTGTCATTTGTATATTGGGAGTGCTGCTCAGCCACCCGATGGAGGCGGCTGTCTTTCTGGATTCTGAAGGGCAGGGTGAAAGTAATAATATAATAAAACCGCTGTCGTAAGAGATGTAGCGGCTTTGTGACCTGCCATTGACTTAACATCTGAAGTTTGCCAAAAGCAAACAACCTAACCGTTTGCCTTTATTTCTGCTGCCACAGAGAAGGAGAAGCGGGAGAGGGCCATCTTGGAAGGAGAGAGCGCCAGCAGTCCATGCTCAGAAAGCTCATCCTCTCCAAAAGGATGTAAGTGACGAACGAAATAGAATATCTTACAGAAACTCGGAACAGTCGTGGAAATGGGGCCTGCCATCTGAGGTGGGGTGGGAATTTGGAAAGTCCAAATTTCAAAGTGTGGGATGTAGGGCCTCCTGGATTCTAGCACGCGCTTGTTTTGGAGGGGCTTCGGAATTTGCGGTCCTCGTCTTCGGGGCTAGAAATCTTCGTCTGCGACGGTTCTTCCAGATCTTGAGCAAGGACTTCCCACATTCTGGCCGGCTAAGACCGTAGGAGGTGCCAAGGGCTGGAGTGGGGAATGTTCAGCATCCCTCCGGAGTGACCCATAGGCCTGGCTCAGGAAGGCTATCCTAGTTCTCATGAGAATTGCAGGGTGAAATATGGGGAAACAGAAATCCTTCCTGTTCTGAATAAAACAGGAGTCCTGCAATAAAAACGTTGTGTTCTGTGACATCTGGAGGCATACAGTCTTCCTTGATGTTATGTCTCCTCCCCTCCCTTCCTCTCTCCTCCCTTCCCCTCCCCTCCTCAATTTTAAATCGGTCTGTAAAGATTATGTTATTATACGAAAACCATTACCAGAATGAAAGTGAAAAATCCAATCCTTGATTTTGCTCTTTTCACCTTTAAAATTTGATGTCTGAACCTAATGCAGGGTTTTAGACACACATCTATGCATTTTTATGGATGAATGTTTATCTGTTGTTATTTATTTGTATTTATACAGCACCTTTCCCTTAATGAGCAAAGTATACACAGGTTTCTTCTACTCCCTATTTTAGAATCATAAAATAAGGGATTTGGAAGGGGGCCTATAAGGCCGTCAGGTCCAACCCCTTGCTCAAGGCAGGAATCCAAATCAAAGCAGATCTGACAGATGGTTGTCTGATTTTCTCCTGAATCCCTCCAGCATTGGAGCACATAGCACCTCCTGAGGTCATAGGTTCCATTGTCGTACTGCTCTAATAGTTAGGAAGTTTATCCTGACATTCAACCAAAATCTGGCTTCCTATAACTTGAGCCATTATTATGTGTTCTGCACTTTAACCTAAAATCAGACTGAGAGAGAAGGACTGTTTCTAGGGGAGCTACATGACTCTGATGAGACTTGAATCCAGATCTCAGGGTATAGTTAAGCTCTGTGGCTTTTGGGCAACCCATGAGCATCCTGCGTTGATTTTGGGTCCTGTGACTTCCCAGACTTAATAAAGAACTCTGTTGTAATCAAAGATGAAATTATTTCTGGCGAAACGTTAATGCGAAAATTCAACCGTAGATTAATAGCTTTTATTTAAAAAATAAATTGAATAAAGCTGCCCCTTTGCATTAGCAAATTTCCAACTTAATCCATAAATTAATTGAATCCATAATTTAATTGATTTTAATCCATAACTTAATTTGTCTTCATCTCTAGCACTGCTAATCACTGGAGTCTTTTCTTCCCTCCCTTCCTAGAGATGATGAGATTCAAGTGCACATCATGTGCAGAGATGCCACTGACCCTTGATTGAAATCCATCAAGGATTTAACTGTCCTTTTGGCCTGTGTGGCTTTTTCATCATGAATCTCATACCTTTGTTACTCCTGGAGTGGAAGAAAGGAAGGGGAGGAAAGATCTCCACGTTCTCTCAAGCCATTTTTTAGAAACCATTTCCCAGGGACCCATTTAAACTTTTAACCACTCTGAAGTGCAGCAGCTTGCCAAATGGGGTCATGCCTTCTGAGTATTGTTTTTAAGCCAGATCCTCCTTTGGAATTGTTGCAAAGGCAAAGGCAATCTCCTAAAGCTTGCGTGGTTCCAAATAGCCTTAAATGAACTGGCGAAGTGGTGGTGGGGAGTTATGGTTGGGAGGAGGCAGAGCAAAGAGGGAAAGATACCGCAGAAGCGGCACCGGGGAAGTCATCCATAAACGGGGCTCCCGTCCAAAACCGGCTGCGTCATATTGATCCGCCTGCACACTTGATAGGAATGAAATCCTCTTTTAATATCCACTTTGTTCTAAAATGCCTCTGCAGATAGCACAGATAATAAGTCAGCAGAAGGGTGGCGTGAAAGGGCTGGATAATATAATGTGGCCAGAAGCCTTGAATCGGCCATCTGCTTTGGTTTAAGATTCCAGAATCTGAAGTATTTTCGGGTTTCTCTCAGCAATTAATAAAGAAAATGTGGAACATACTTTTTAAAAAATATGTCTCATACTTTGCGACATATTAAAAAATGGTCCCAAGTTTCATCCCTGGCATCGCCAGGTATTGCCAGGGAGAGATTTCACTGCCTGAAATCCCAAGGAGTCACTCATGGTCAGTATTGATTAGAATCGGGCCACACGTGGCCTTCACCTAATTCTGTGGTCCCTCCCTAATGAAAATTGGATGTTTGTGTGTGAAAAAGGATGAGGCATGCTCTGAGAAGACTCCAGGAAACATCATTTTTCTTTAAAATAAGGCATAACCATCCTCTCACTTCATTTTTGTCCTGTAAATCTCTTACACACGTCCTGCCCCACAACTATATGGGGAGGACCAGGGATCTGTCTTGACTAGGAACCACTGATAGAGCCATCCTCCATGGAGCTGTCCTTGTGAAGCCATCCAGTTTGATGGCCATTGCTACAGCTCAAATTACTGAATTCCACCATTTAACTCTGTGGGTTGGGAAGAAGGACCTCTTCTTTATTTGAATGTCCCACCACTCAGCTTCGGTGGGTGACTCTCTTTTGGAGTTCTGAGACAGGGAGAAACACTTCTTCTTCATGGTCTACTATGAGTCACACAGCTGGATTCTGCGCCTCTAAATTCAACATTCAGGGGCCGCTTAGTATTCAAGAATAGGAAGGAATCCTTCCCCGGGGGAACGCAGCTCCCACTTGGATGTTTCCTGCAGAGTGGCATCATCTTCAGCCCACTGGAAGTCAACATGATGATTCTTCATCAGAGCTAAGTAGAGACACCAGCATTGAAAATACGGAGGTGGAAGGAACAAGTGAATGCAAGAAAAAGGAGGGAAAATAGTGCTGAGATGATACGGAGGGAGAAAATGCCTGCTGGCCAGCCTGCCTACATAAGAGGAGTTGGAGAAGCCCCTTGCTCCTGGTAGACTTCGGGGCAACACTCTGAGAAACGCAAGACTTTGGAGTGTCAAGCCATTTGTTGACTACAGATGGCCAACGCCAGCTCTGTTAAAGGGGTCTTGCTCCTCACCCCCTGAAATTCTGCATCCGTTATATGTCCTCTCTACTGAAGGAGGTCACGAGGTGTGGAAGCTCTTGAGGCGATTCAGTGCCATCCTGGTGGGTCTCTCAAGCTGGACTTGTCAGAGGAATAATATTTCCCAGTTGCAATATTGCCTCAGCTCCAACTTGACTGGGTCTGAGGTAAAATCACCCACAGGTGATTAAGATTCATGGGAGAGACTCAGGCTGGGTGACTTTCTCCCTACCTCAGACATAGTTTTGAGTCTGGTGGAGATAGGTGTTCTTCATCAGAGATACACACAATGAAAATAACACAAGGCAAACGATAGTTGAAGGGTCAGAAAATAAATTTAATTTTCAAGCTCTGCAGTGTTTGTTGTTTGTTTGTTTTGTTTTCCCTTCCTGCTAAGGGTGCTTGTAGCAGATAAAGAAAAATGGAGGGAATGACTGGAAGCATGTGCAAAAGAGATAGAGGACAGGGCATATTAGACACTGGAAGCCGTCTCCTCCAACAACAGCACCATGCATCATTTTATACCCCTCTGTCCCCCTTGCTGCTGAGGGTGCTTGCAGCAGATAAAAAAGTGGAGGGAATGACTGGAAGCATGTGCTTATTAGAGGACAGGGCTTATTAGACTCCTCCAACAACAACACCATGCATCATTTTATACCCCTCTGTCCGATCTCCATTTTTATTGCAGTATATGGAGATTCTAGCATCAAAAGAGTCAGTTCCTGTTCAAGGGATCATCTTTTCCATCAGACATATAAATCAAACAGTGAGTGACTCATTTAGTTTAAGGAATGCACCTCCAAATTAATGCAAGGCAATTACAGAAATCTGTCTACTGTTAGCAAACTCAGCATCTTGCAGAAGCCATCACCAAGCTGCCTGGGATACCTTTCTACTTTGCCAGCAAATCTACGGAGATCACTAGTAAGAAATGTTGTCAAAATATCAGTCAGCAATCCTGGATCACACGCTCGTCATTCAAAACACTGTATAACATGTATGGTTCTCAGGGAGATGGTCACTTCTATATTAAACAAATCATCTACAAACATGAATTTGACCAAACTCCAGAAGGCAGTGGAAGACAGGAGGGCCTGGCGTGCTTTAGCCCATGGGGTCACGAAGAGTTGGACATGACTTAACAACTAAACAACAATGTAATTTATCTCACTGAGTGCAGACGACTATCTTCAGTAGGCAAAATGAGAAGAGATTCAGCAATCGTAAGGCTGCCATTTTAACTAAAAAGTTGGAACAACCAGTGTCTAAACATTCTGAACACCGTAGCCTGCCTAACTTGTCTTTGGTCAGAATAGAGATACAGTGGTGCCTCGCAAGACGATTGCCTCGTGGGACGATTAATCTGCAAGACGATTAGTTTTTGCGATCGCTGTTGCGCTTTGCAAGACAATGGTTTCCTATGGACGATTTTTGCAAGACGACGATTTTTCCCCATTGGAACACATTAAATAGATTTCAGTGCATTCCAATGGGGAACCGCATTCTGCAAGATGATGTTTTCTATAGATGATTTTCACAAGACAGCGATTTTTCCATTGGATCGCATTAGATTTTGCAAGACAATGTTTTCGCAAGACAGCGTTTTTCACGGAACGAATTAACATCGTCTTGCGAGGCATCACTGTAGTAACAAATCCAAGCCCATTAGAAAAGAGGGAAAACCTCTGGATTTACTGAACAGCTACAGTACCTGAACACCTCATGGCCTGAACCTAGAAGACAACACATAACATCATCATCTGCTTTGGAACAACTTGTCTTCTAGCTTCCGTCTATGCCATTTGGAAAATGGTGTCCTTTTACCAGAGCAGCTGAAGACGGTATAAGCCGAAATGTTTTGCTTAAATACTTCTGTCTGTTAGTCACTCTTGCAAGTGAGTGTATAAAATTAGCAAATATTTACCCTACCTTTTTAATGCATGTGAATTACTTAGAGCAGCTCATCATTTTCTCAAAAGCACATTATCCCCAAATGATATAAAAACAAAAGACGAAAAACACGGGCGCAAGAGGTAAACCACACCGGTCAGATGAAAATGTTGACAGGCATGAGTTTTTCCTGGTGGCTTGTGCCCTTAGGACTCTGAGTTCTCTCTCTGCCCCCCTTAATGACCAAGGGACTCGCCCACCTCCCCTTAATGCACAGTGGATTTTCTGGAGAAGTAAATCAGTGCACCCCAGAAACATCCCTCTTAGCCTCCTTGCGTTGCAGAGGATTTATACAATTCAAATTTATGCGCGTCCAGGGAGTTTGAAAAGAAAGAAGAGAAAAGTAGATTGAGACTTGAATGCAAAAGAAATATTTTTCCTAATAGGAGCTGTTGGGATTTTTATTCAGCACACAAACACCACTATCTTCGGTCGAAGCAACAGAGACGGAAGTAATGGCTTGTGGCGCTTAGGACAGAGTGTGTGCAGCAGAGTTTTACCTTCGTACTATGCGCCATAACAAATTTAAAATGGCAACCCAACGATAACATTTAAAATTTTTATTAACTCGTTTGCCCCAGTCTGTACCGGGAAGTTCCTCCACTGGGCTGCAGAGAGTGCTGAAATATTTTGCCATAATTAGTTGGCCACTGTGGGTCCCTAACTTCACTCTTTTCTCCCCTTCTTTGCAACCAGGGGCCAGACAAGGTGGTACACTCGTGTCCCGCTTGACGATTACCCCGTTTAACAATGAATCTGCTTCATGATGATGTTTTTGCGATCGCAAAACGATGTTTGAATGGTTTTTGGTTTTTTTTTGCTTAGTGATGATCGGTTCCCTGCTTCGGGAACCGATTTTTCGCTAAACGATGTTTTTTCAGCAGCTGATTGGCGGTTTTCAAAATGGCCGCCGGCTCTCAGAATGCCCCCCCGCTGTTTTTAGGGGGCATTTTTCGCAAAACAGGCACCGGAAAATGGCCACCCTATGGAGGATCTTCGCTTTACGATGAGGTATTTCGCCTATTAGAATGCATTAGCCGGTTACTAATGCATTCTAATGGGCTTTTTAATTTCGCTTGATGAGGATTTTGCTTAACAGCGATTTCAATGGCACGGATTATCCTCGTCAAGCGAGGCACCACTGTACACTGCTCTGAATCCTCTGGTGGGGAACACAGGCTGCCCAGTTGATGTTGAACTGCGCTCCCAGGATACTTCATCATTGGTGGCAGTGGCCACAGCGGATAGGAACCACACCCTTTCTCTTCCGTAATCCTCACCACTGCTTTGCATTCTCGTCTACCTGCAGCAGTCACCACGGGGAACCTGGTGGATCTGGAGAACGTCGTCAAAACTCCTTTGACGGTGAACGCCAACTCAGTGCACTTAGACAGCAGCATCTTCAGGCCGCATTCGTCAGAAAACAACAACGTGGTCTGGGTAAGTGTTTGGGGAGCATTCCATAATGGCTGCAGGTCACGTGACTGATGGCATGCCTGATTTATCGCGTCACAGATGGGTCACTTGGATGCCGAAAATTTCCTTGCTTGCTGCTGGACTGGAATATAAATGTTTTTTTCCCAGGCCTGCAGATCCCGTGAATGCTCTAATATGCCTGCATGGCCTATCTATCAACTTGATGAAAGGTTGCCTTCTTTCTCCCCAACAACTGTCCCAAGATCATGGTTTTATTAATTAAAAAATCTTTACCTCTTCTTTAAAAAGACAAGGGAGTGTCCCATTATTATTATTAT